GGGTCCCGTGGGCAAGGCCCCGGCCACCAGGCGCTCGCCTGCGAGTCCCAACCCCGGGCCTGGCTCCAGGGTGGGGCCCCGGTGACGTCAGTCCGGGCGACGTGAACCTCTTTGATTGATTTGTTTTCTTCATCAAGGGGATGTTTTGAACCGCTATTTGTCTGATCCGTCACCTAGGACCTGTTTGCCTTGGGAGACCCTACCAACATAGCTCCTAGGTTCATTCGGATACTCAAATCCCTCCACCACGTTAAGGTTGCGATTCAAGGAGGGGTAAATCATTTATTGTTATGTGTTTTTTTCCTCTTTATTTCAATACTGCTGTTGAAAACACTGTATCAAACAATGCTATTAAAATATAAAATACACACTATGGGCAGTATGAACACTTAAAGAATAAATAGAACATAAAAAAAACATTTGTCCTAATCTTTAATTCAGTTTCCAAGAAGTTCACTCCGTCATTGAAGTCTATTGTTATTTTTCTTCTTATGTGTATCCTATTCCAGTGGACTCATCACGTGCAGGAAGGTTTGGGGGGTTTGTGCGGTGCAATGTTATTTGGGTGGTGACTGCTACCCCTGCGACCCGGTAACGGATAAGCGGATAAAAATGGATGGATGTGTATCCTAATTATTTTAGATGCCAATAAACTGGTTTGTCTCGCTTTTTGTCTTGACACAAATGACGTGTGCTAATAATTGTGAGGGTTGAAATACCAAAAGGCTACACCTGTTCAGATGAAAGGTTAAACGTCATCACAGAAACACTGAAACACCAACACAACTATCTTTAAGATTTGACTTTAGTTCAGTAGGCTATAAGTTGCAGTAGGATACAAGTTGTTGTATTGATTATTCACTGGCATCAACTTCTTCCTGTGTAATAACAGCAACTTAATCAGTGTCATTTTCATGCACCACAAAGGAGGAGGTGAACCCTGGGGGTTCCACATCAATGACAGAAACAATGACTCTGAGCCAAAGCGCCACTCTTGTACATAAACCAAAACATAATTTTTCTGCTGACAACTAACTCTTTTTTTCTAACTTTCTTTAAAATCTTCTCCTTTTCTTCCCTTTTTCCTTCAGTATTTATAAAATGTTGTCATCTAATGGAGAGAAACATGCATTGCCCCCCCGCCTCTGTGTGCTGATGGTGTTCTTCGTGTTATCCATATTCTTCTTCTTTCCTTTTCCAAAGGCAGTGGTAAACATCTCAGCAGCCGGTATTTTACACCATATTTTCTTTAATAGACTTCTGACATGCTTGAAGGTGTCTAATCCCAGCTAATCACTGTGTGGTGCTCTGATGACTGTCAATTTGACACTGAGACTAGTGTCAAATATCAACTTGTGTTTCTCACCTTCCACTTCTGCCAGTGTTGTTCTCTTCTCTGGAATTTTTTACAGCGTCTTCCAATGATACTTCTTCAACATTGAATGTGCTTAACCCTGTAAAGCCCAGACCATTAAATAACTGACAGAAATTCTAATTCTCTGAACTTGGACCCTTTATTGTTCCCTCTGAACAAACAAACAAAAACAAATTTGAAAAAAAAAACCTGTAGCCACAGCGGCCCTTTGTGGAACAGTTTGGGCACCCCTGCACTAATGGAACTGGCTGGGCAGAAGTCTGGAAAACATATTATGTATTATAATCTATAATAATACATATATATACATATATATAAAATGTATATTTATTTATATATAATGTCCATCCATCCATCCATTTTCATCCGCTTATCCGTTACCGGGTCGCGGGGGCAGCAGTCGCCACCCAAATCTATATATAATGTATTAATATATAATATGATACAGCAAGTTACATATCTAGTTTTTTACTCTAAATGTACCAAATTATGTGCAGTCTCCATGACCGCCACCCAAATCACATTGCACTGTACCAACCCCCCTAAACCTTCCTGCGGTTGGTGAGTCCACCGGAAGGTACTAACCGCCCTAACCAGGATTTGAACTTCCCCAGGAAGTGAACCCTAGGATTCCACACCAATGACAGAGACATTGCCTCTGGGCCAAAGCGCCTCAGAATTACATGTATATATTATTTATATTTATAATACATATATATTTATATAATATTTTATATATATAATATATATGTATATATAAATTATATATTTTCCTTTTCCTTTCAGCTTATCCCTTTTTTTCAGGGGTTTCCACAGTGTATCATTGTTTTCCATCTCACCCTGTTCTCTGTATCGTCTACTCTGACTGCAACTATCTGCATGTCCTCCCTCACTGCATCCATATATCTCCTCTTTGTCTCCTACCTGGTAGCTCCATCTCTAGCATTATTCTACCAATGTATCCACTGTCCCTCCTCTGCACATGTCACAAACCATCTCAATCTGGCTTCTCTGTCTTTTTCTCCAAACCTTCCTGTCTGTGTTGTCCCTCTAATGACCTCATTCCTGACCCTGTCCATCCTTGTCACTCCTAAATAGAATCTTAGCATCTTTAACTCTGCCATCTGCAGCTCCACCTCCTGTCTTCTGGCTATTGCTAGTGTCTCTAAACCATACATCATGGCTGGTCTCACAACCGTCCTGTAAACCTTTCCCTTCACCTTATATATATACAATATATAATATATATAATATATGTTGTATATAATATATAATAAGATATTAATACATAATATGATACAGTGAGTTACATTTGTATTTTATTACTCTAAATGTACCATATTATGTATTTTAAAAATATAAAAATGTTATATATAATGCGTGGCGCTTTGTCTCTGTCATTGGTGTGGAACCCCAGGGTTCACCTCCTGGGCAAGTTCAAACCCCGATTAGGGTGCTTGTACCTTCCAGGCACTCACCACCCGCAGGAAGGTTCAGGGGGGTTTGTACGGTGCACTGAGATCCTGAGTCATGACAACCTTGTAGTGTCACTGGAAGGCCCGCTAATGAGTGAATTACTATTCTCTGTTGAATTATCTGTGCATTGCGTGTATCTGATTGTATACATCTGTTTTTTCAGGGAAAAAAATATCACACTGCTCATGTGGAGGGCTGTAAAACTCATGTATCAAATATGATACGTTTGCTGTTATAGGGTTAAATAATATTCAATAAACATGAATGTTTAATCCACCGTGTTGAACAAAACTCTCAGATCTTTAACCTGTCGTATATGTTCATCCACATCTTAATCTCACTTGTTTTCCCTCTTTCTGCTCACCAATAAACAATTCAGTGTATTTGCCTCCTTCACCTCCAATCCACATCTTTGGTGCAATTACAGTGGACACGTCACCAGAGGTCATTAGCTCCTCTCCAGGAGGATATAAGGGGGATATGGGTTTTTTTGATATAAAAAAACCCAACCTCTCCCTCTTTCTTCGGACTTTGTGGGAGAGGTTAGTGTTTTTCTGTTGCTCCTTGTTTTTGGCATTTTATTTAAGTTTGCACTATATTTATTTTATGTGTACTTTGTAGGGGCTCGGGTGGTCTACAGGAGGAAAATTGATTTAGTTCTATGTGAATTCCGTCAGGTATGTTTCCATGCTGTACACTGTTAGCGCTCTTTCTTCGGGCTTTGTGGGAGAGGGGCTCGGGTGGTGTCCAGAAGGAAAATTAATTTTGTTCTATGTAAATTCCATCAGATCAGTAAAGGTGTTGGTGACAGCAGCACAACGACTTTCTTAAAACACAATGCAGAGGCTACACCGGTTACATATGTATCCTTTTTTTTTTTTTGTCCATGTACCACCTTCCGCAGAGTGTGGTACATTTCTAGTTTTGTTTGTTATATTACACAAGTCAAGTTTGTGATTGACCTCTTATCTCATTTTGTGTCCTTAAGCCTGATAGAGCTAGTACACTAATGATCTACAGCTTTTAGTTTTACAAGTATTGCTACCAGTGGTAAGTGTACCAAGTCTTGCCAAAATGAGGTTTTCGTATCATTGATTTCCCATGCATCCATTATTTCAGTGTCCAAGAGGTTGAAAATTAAGGTTTAAAATGTAAAACTGTAAAAGCCAGAAATCCTTTTACACTTCCAGTTCAATCTAAACTTTAAAAAGACAGAATAAATCAGGATGTCGTGATAATGTTGAATGGAAAGAAGGGTTTCTCCCAGGTATGTCAGTGTATATTGACCTCTCCTTTTACACTCCACTGACTGAGGTTATCAGTTCACTTCTGGAGGAATTCCTTATTCCTCACATGCTGAATCAGGAAACCACAGGACAAGCTACAGTACATACTGTGAAATCAGCTGTTTCTGCCAACTATTTGCACTTTAAATGTACAGCAAATTGTCTTTTAACAGCCATCACAGCCAAAATATGTGCAGTTTTTTTGCTTTTCAAAACTATTTGAAATTAACCAACATGCAGGGGTTTTCTTCTTAAAGTGGGCAGTACACCAGAGAACTGTGTATTCAAACCAGTGGAGCAGAAAAAGCCCTCACACTTCATGATATACAAACACCAAAAAGCTAACTAATCACATCCAGATAACACAGGAGTCCTTTAAATAAATATGACTAAATGTTTAAAAAAAAAATATTTTTTTCAAAATTTCAGGCAAAGATTGTTGTACATTCTCTGGATAAACACATCAGTCAGGCATGCCCAAACTGTTCCTCAAAGGGCCGTGTGGCTCCAGGTTTTTGTTCCAACCAACCAAGAGCACATAGTTTGACCAATCAGCTGTCTGAAGACTGAGACCAGTTGATTAAACCTGTCAACTCATGTGTGCTACTGCTTGGTTGGAACAAAAACCTGCAGCCACAGCGGCCCTTTGTGGAACAGTTTGGGCACCCCTGCATCAGATGAACGTAATTTAACAATTCTTAGGAGCATGATCCAGATTGTACATGACATTATACAGTATACTGAAGTGTACTGAAGACAACTAAGGTAACCTCAGAAAGTGCTGTTGGCAAATATATTGTTATAAAAGCACATGAGGTGACAAACTTCACCGGAATGTTAATGAATTCAAATATTTTCTCAGTAGCGAGGGATGAGGTGGTTTGAAGTAAATAAATCCCAGCTTTGATTTAACACTTGTAGCCACTACAGGAAGGCACACTTTTCTCATGTAAATCTGGTTTTAGCTCTGAGGCAGCCTAGAGGCAAGACACGGCTTCATTACAGATTTGTTCCGGAACAAACATTTAAACAGGACGACAAAGACAGACTAAAAGATGTTTTAGACACTGAAGACAGTTGTTGATCTTCATGGAATGAGTAAAAGGAAAAGGAGGAGGTGCTCTTTAACCCTTCTTCACAGCATCTAAGTAAGTCTGACATCTTCCCTCTTCTTCATCCAGGCCTGCTTAGATGTACATCTCAAACTGTGCGTCATCACCTTTAAACAGAGACAAAAACAGATTTCAGGTGCATCAAAAATGGCAACGTTGGGAACTTTACCTTTCATAACCTTTGAGAATGTTGACATATTTCTAAACTTCTTTCCACCTTACGAAGATATGACTATATGACTAATTAATTTGTTTAAACATTTTTTATTTAATAGATTGTTTACTAATAGAATTAGTATTTGTGGTCTTTGGTAGGATTAGAGGAAATAGTCTTTTTCAAATCAATTTGCATTTAATGTTTAATAATACCTACAGTCAGATAATGCTAATATTGATGTAGTTTGTTTTTAATTGCTGGTCTTTTTTTCTTTTAATTAGAACTGATATGGCCGTTTGAGTCAGAGGTGTTGACATACTAGTGTTGTTACTGTCAGGTGCAGTGACATCATTGTTGTTCAGTAGTTCTCCACTACAGGCTTTCATATTGGGTTCTTTAGGACTGGTCACTCCTGGAATGTTTGGTAGTCCACAGGGAGCAGTCTTGGCCAGTGGAGAGCTGCGACGGTCCAGCAGGAACTTACGGTCATAGATGATCCTGGTCCCTTCAGAGTAAAAAGGCAGGAAAATGTTAATAAGGTGTTAATAAAAGACTGTAATAAGCCACAGCCTGCTTTCTGTTGAGTTATCTTAAATAACACTACCTTTAACTTGAGTATTATTTATATGTTACTGTTGTGACCTCTGCTGTAAACAAGTCATCACAGCTCAAGTTGTCAGTGACGTAGTGTTGCTAAACTTCCAGGAGTCCGTTTCTTGAAGCTGGCTCACAAAAATATTACAATGAGCTCTCGTAAGTCTGAGTTGAGCCTCCCTCAATTGAGCGCAGATAACACAAACCATGTCATGTCCTCCACCTTTTGCTTCACTCCGGTTGAGCAAGAAATACTGTTTTATGTCTATAACGATTACGACACACTGTAAAATAAAAAGAACAACAGCGTCAAAGCCACAGAAGACGGTGAAAAGGCTTGGTAACAGATTATAGATAGAGTGAATGTGTGAGTATTGATTATTAAAATATATCCATTTTGTATTAATTGTCATTTTGTATAACCATGTTCAGCCAGCTGTGGACAGTGCACCCTGTCTTAGCCACTGAATCACACTTTCGAAAACAATTCCTAATATGGTAACAGAGATAAGCTCACTGAGGGGGCATCTTGAGAAAGAAGAGTCTGAGACACTGAACAGAGTGAGGGCATTCATTCGTCCTTCTTCTTCGTCGACATCACACATGCAACTGCTTGTGAGTATTGACATCTAGAGAGGGAGACACGATCCGTTCATGGTGACTTGTCAACGAAACCAGAGATCTCTGTAAGTGCACTGTTGAACAATTAAAGTTGTTTGTTCATTTCACCTTTGTAGTGATTTATCATTAATATTGTCTGCATTGACTGTGTCCCTGAAACACGCACACGGGACAAGTTGAGTCCCGCCGCCCAACATGATGAGGAAGTTATTGATCCTTGTTCATTACAGAACTGTTCAGAGATATATATTGTAAAATTATCAATATACATCTCTCGCTGTAGACACACCTGGACATTTTAAGTTTTAATCCAGGTTTAACCCAACAGGGATAAAAAGGACGTAGCAGCAAATTAAGACCAAATACAACAATATCGTTCAAACAGGGAAGAATAAATTCTGCCCCCTATTGGAGGTAAATGGTTCAAATGACACCGAGCAGTTTTCTGTATGAAATTATAATTTAACTACTGTAAATGACTAATTTAAATACTGTTAATTTATTCATAAGGTGGCGCTTTGGCCCACAGGCAATGTCTCTGTCATTGGTGTGGAACTTCAGGGTTCACCTCCTGGGCTAGTTCGAATCCGTTAGGGCGGTTGGTACCTTCCAGTGAACTCACCACCCGCAGGAAGGTTTAGGGGGGTTGGTACGGTGCAGTGTGATTTGGGTGGCGACTGCTGCCCGCTTATCCGTTACCGCTACCCGGTAACGGATAAGCGGATGAAAATGGATGGGTGGATGGGATTTATTTATAAGTATCTTTGCTGACGTGTTGCAGTAGTGATGGACCAATGTCAAACTTGCACATTTCTTCACAGAGCACTGCTGGAAGTGTGTCTTTCAGATCAACACCAACGGTCCTCCCACATCGGCACGCTGTTGCGTCGAACACACTTTCAGCATCACCAACGTTATAAAGGAAACTACCGTTCGCTCCGAGCTAAGAGCACGACTACGATGTAGTGACTGGAAAACCGACTCTTTTTACTCATTCAGATCTTTGACTCTCGAACAGTAAAATGTGAACGAATCATTTCATTCGTTTTACAGCTGGTGGCGCTTTAGCCCTATTGTGGGCGTTGTAAAGAAGACTGCGGTTCTCCGACACTAAATACTGAAGGCAACATGGTTTGCTTCCGCTGACAAAGTCTACAAAGTACACAAAATACCATAAGCAATCAAACCATGTGAAAACACAACACAATGTGAAGATGAATGAGAGCAAAAGAGACCCGAGCTCTCTGTCACGTGACAAATGAAACGAACCTGGGAGAATGAGGCAAAAGATTAGTTCACAGAGAGTGATTCGTTCATAGTGAAAGATTAGTTCGCAGTGAAAGATTAGTTCGCAGTGAAAGTTTAGTTCGCAGTGAAAGATTAGTTCGCAGTGAAAGTTTAGTTCGCAGTGAAAGATTAGTTCGCAGTGAAAGTTTAGTTCGCAGTGAAAGATTAGTCCGCAGAGAATGATTTGTTCGCAGGGAGTGATTCGTTCATAGTGAAAGATTAGTTCGCAGTGAAAGATTAGTTCGCAGTGAAAGATTAGTTCGCAGTGAAAGATTAGTTCGCAGTGAAAGATTAGTTCGCAGTGAAAGATTAGTCCGCAGAGAATGATTTGTTCGCAGAGAATGATTTGTTCGCAGGGAGTGATTCGTTCATAGT